GATTTACAAAGAGAAAATGTCATGTATTCTGAAACAATATCCTTTTAAAATATGAAATAAGGCTAGAACTGGAGTGCAATGATAGAATATGTGCTTAACATGTGAGAGTTTTCAGTTCAATCTCCACTACAAACCCACATGCACACATATACACAAATACATACAAATACATATATACACATATACACAAATACATACAAATATAACACATGTACACACAAATACACATTTGGTAATATCCTAACAGAAAAGCATTGTTCCTTAAGGACAATTTGTATTTAAGGTTACACTCAATTTATTGGATAGCCTGCAATATCTGTACTGTTTTCCAAAAGAGTCTAATTACATTTCTTTCTCACTATCATTACTTTATGTGTGCAATGTGAAAACATTATAGTAGAGTAAAATCCTCCTATGTCCCATTCCTAATGACTACAAATAAATTTACTGGAGAGACTTTTTGGGGAGGTACTGATTCTGGGGTTTGAACTCAGGAACTGAGTGCCATTTCTGAGCTTTGATGCTCAAAGCTAGTGCTGTACCACTTGAGTCACAGCTCCATTTCTGGCTTTTTTATTTTATTTGGTTGGTTAATTGGAGATAATAGTCTCACAGATTTTCCTGCCTGGGATGGCTTCAAACTGTGATTCACAGATCTCAGCCTCATAAGTAGCTAGGATTACTGGCATGAGCCACCAGCATGCAGTTGGAAAGACATTTTGAGAACATGATAAATCAGGGCATTTTGAGTTAGAATTTCCTGACATTAGGTTTATAAAAGACATATTTTATTTATTCATATTGGAACTGTACAATGTTCTTTTATTTGAATGGTGTACAATGTAAAAATTTCAGATTATGCAATATGAAATAATAAAACCAGGACAGTTGGTAATTCCATTTTCTTACATTTAAAACCAGTTTTATTGAGTATTAAGTTTTCTGTTTTTCTGATACTCTAAAGCCTTAGATAATAATACGATTATTGAATTCAATCAGACTGACAATTGTTCTTGCTGAAAAAGTCATGATTCTTCTAAATTTCAAATTGATTCCATACCACGTTCTCAAAACAGTAAACCTTTGATCAACTGTTACCTCAACAAGAAAGAAAAACATGAAGAAAAGGGAAAAAGGACATGAAACTAAGCTTAGGATAAGTCATTATAGAAATAACAGAAAGAAGATAAAAATAATCAAGTTTGGTTATCAGATGTGTAAAGTTAGAGAATTTCTTGAGCCAAGGCTCAGATACATTTCCAAAATAAATAGTATATGTGGTGTGGCTGGTATCTAAAACATGTGCTGTCAACAAACCTAATAAAAGGTGAGACTACAAACTACATCTAGGAATATAACAAAAATGACTTACTTCAAGACAATGTACAGAGTGAAGCTCTATATGAAACAAACATTTTCATATACACGATCATATTTTTGTTTAAATTAGCAATAATGTAGCATTTTCCAATCATATAATGTGAAAATTCAAAATTAACCTTAGTGTTGGTATTGGCTATTCTTTTTTTGTTTTTTGGTTTTTTGTTTTTTTGTCTGCTGTGGAGCTTTAACTCTGGGCCTGGGTGCTGTACCTCAGTTCTTCAGCTCAAGGCTAGTGCTCTACCACTTGAGTCACAGCGCCACTTCTGGTTTTCTGGTGGTTTATTGGAGATAGAGTCTCACTTTCCTGCCCTGGCTGGCTTTGAACCACAATCCTCAGATTTCAGCCTCCTAAGTAGCTAGGATTATAGGCACCCAGCTTTGGCTACTCTTAAATTGAAAAAAAAAAAAAAATACTGACTTCAAGATATTACAGATTTTTTGTAAACTCTTCATTTAATATTCTCATATATCCCTGCTCCAACTCCCCAAATCTAACTTCTACAGGCAATATAATCTAAGTTCCACAAGGCAAACCCTGACCACTTTGACTCTTGTTAACAAATGAATGTCTTCCCTCTTTTGCTAAATTGCTTCCTGGGATGTCACTTCTAGTACACCATCAACTTTCAGTTGTTTACCTTCTCTTTCTGCAATAACCTTCCATAACCTCAAATTATATTTTGGGCTGGGAAGGTGGCTGGGCTGGGAAGGTGGCTCAGTGGTAGAGCGCTTGCCTTGCATACATGAGGTCCTGGGTTCAGTTCCTCAGCACCACATAAGCAGAAAAAAAAAGCCAGAAGTGGCGCTGTGGCTCAAGTGGTAGAGTGCTAGCCTTGAGCTGAAGAGCTGAGGGACAGCTCTCAGGCCCCACGACAGGACCCCCCCCAAAAAAAATTTATTTTAGCCTGAGAGATTTGTATCAATGTAGAGAAATTGACACCTTTCAATAATTATAAATCAAACCGGGCTCTAGATATAAATGTAAAATTTAAAAATCCTAGGGGATAATAAAATAGAAAATCTGTATAGCCTTTAATATAGTGATCAATTTTTAGATTTAATATCAAACATATAATGTATGAAAGGAATAATTTGATCACTTAAGTTTCAACAAAAATAGTAACGTTCCCCTATGAAAAGTAAAATCAACAAAATAAATACACAATTTTTAAAAATGTGAGGAAAATATGTGCAAAAGACAAATGGTTTCAACTATTAATTTAATTTTTAATTTCTCGTAACAAATGAGAAATAAATTGAGAAACTTCCTTCCTGAAAATGCTTTTATGGTTTTCAATGCATACATCTTTTTTTTTTTTGCAACTTGTTGTTAATTTTTTAGCATTGGTACTACCTATTTTTAGGGAAGTTTTTATATAGGTGACTATAGTATCTTTCCAAAAAGACATGTTACTTTCTTCTTTAATATATAGGTTTATTTTATTAACATTGCCTCATTGCTTTAGCTAGGACTCCCAAAAATTACTAAATAGATCTTTGCCTTGCTGATTATGACATAAAGGAAACTTTTGAGTTAAATTGTAAACTCTTCAGAAAACATACTCAGAAGTTGATGCAAAATACCTCAAAATGTGGCCCTGAATGGACTAGAGCATTGTAAATGGTAAGCAAGTTAAAATTGTTGTTCTTTCAAAAAGTGAAGAAACTGGCAAAAATATACCAACAATGCCAATAAATGGGAAGATAACTGAAGCAATATAAGGAGATGCAGGGCAATTACATACTAAAGAGAAAAAAAATTGCAACATGCACCAGAAAGAATCCACTCTTCAGAGAGCTTGGTATTTCATGTTTTAGTCTCAAAAATTGTGCAATAAATTTCTGTCGTATAAACGAAACAGTGTGTGGGAAATTTACAAGGAAGCCGTAAAAACCTAACATAAAAAACCACGCAAATTTTTATCAAGAGCTTAGAGTATGGCCTTCATGCAACAATGCCTGCCTATCAAAAGCATGATGCTCTGAGTTCAGACTTTAATAATGTCCCCACCTAAAGAAAATAGCACGAAGAAAGTGAAGAAGTAATAGTAGAAAAAGAAAAGAAAAAGAAAGCAGAGGAAGAGAAGGAGGAGAAAAGAATAGGAGGAAGTAATTACAGAGAGAGATAAGAACAGAAAAGAATAAAATCATCTGAACTAAAGAAAGACAGTAAGAGGAGCCTACCAGCTTCAATCTTGCTACAAACTAGCATACACTAAGAACTGAAAAGGACATTGAATGTGTAGCATGAATATTATTGATGAGGTTCTTAAGACCAAATTTACCAATTGTTCATAGTAGAAATTGGCCAGAGAAGAAGTGTAAACGACTAGCTTTGGAATGTGATGACTGTTAGATGGATACAAATGTTTTGCTAGAAAGGAGAGCAGATATATATTTATTTTCAGATATATATGTATATATACACACCCACACACACATATATATCTGAAAATAAAATTTGGGGGTCATGGATTTTAAGAGATCATGCTAATTTCTACAAAAAATAAATAAATATCAGAGACATAATAATGCATAAAGTGATTTTATTCCATTTCTGTTTAGGAGTCTGAAAGTACAATATATCAGTAGGCCTTTTCTTTTACATCTGTTAAGCATCTCACTATGTGTGGCTTTGGGCAGGAGTTCATATGACCAGGATTACATGCAGTACAGGAAGCCAGAAAGGGATCCAAGAGTCAGCCATGCTGTTTTGATACAACTCACTCTCTTGGAAATTAACCAAATTCCCATAACAACTTGCTTCTATCCTTCTTTAGGCAATATCTTCATTGGCTTACCTAATGCTCATTAAGCACCAACTCTTGGAGGTCCCATTCTTCTCACATCACCACAATGTGGACCAACCCTTCAACACAAGAAAAACTTGAAGATGTGTTCAACTCAAAGCAGGGAGTTTTAGTTGAAAGATTTTTTCATTTGATCTGAGAGCCCGCTGAGGCCAAAGTTTGTTTTGCAAACATGTGTGAACTGTACAGTATCATTTGCACAAGTGTAAGAAATCATCTTTGGTAAAAGAAATAATCTTTGGTACGTTTTCTTTTAAAATCATGACAAAGGAAAGAAAAATCCAGAACTATTCTGAAAATGGTTGTGAATGAAACCAGTTTTTCTCCTTTCACATATTGTTCTAAACACTCTAAACTGTGCTGAGAATTCTTCTTGAGATAAGAAAGAAATTGCATAAAGAACACAAATCAATGCTGCCCTTCTAAGAAGAGAGTTAGTCTAGAAAATCCTAGGATTCCTGCATTACATATTTTGGGTAATAATCCTCATTAAACCATCTGTGCATAGCTTAAGTCTACAGAATAGTGTAGGCAAAGAGAAATTATACGTACATAACAGAAAAATACTGTTCTTTCTCCATATGTGTATATGTGTGCAGGTGCATGTATGTATTTGTTAAATTGATTTTGTGAGCTCTTAGATATTGTTTTGACGAATAAAGTGGCTTTTCTCACATAAAATGGTATCTTGGCCATAGTTACCCTGTAATTGTTTGAGTATATGTAATTCTCTAATCTTTTCATTATTTTTTCACAATGATTATTTAAAACTATTCTTATGTCAGAAAATTGTAGTAATTAAAAATGTAAAAGAAACATTTGTTAATACACTGTTTACATATATATATATATATACTTAATTTGCATCTTATAATTTAGCTTCAGTATGAATAGCAATAAATGGGTCTTCTGCAAAGTTGCTAATGGAAAAGTGAGCTCTACCATCACTGGAAACAGAGATTTTGATTCCTGTGCAATCGCCCTCCACTTTATCTCCAGAGATAACATCACAGTAAGTTCCACTTGAAAGACCAGTTTGCAAAGTTGATGATAATGACCTAAAATATAAAGATAACAACTAACTTAAATTCAACACAGAGAACTTCCAGACTGCAGGCTATCTGTAAAAGAAATAATCAGTATTGACCTCTAATCAGTCAAGGTCACAACAAAGAACAAAAACATAAACAGAGACCTATGAGTGGGTGTGAAAGTTTCTCAAGACTAACATGATTGTGCAAAAGATCTAGAAACTCCTAGTCAGTGATGAAAATAAAAATGAAAATGGAAAAATATTAATGAAAATGTTCAAAGAGAACAGCACCCTTAGATAATAGTGCAGAAATATTTTATTATATATGTGTGTGTGTGTGTATATTCCTAAATAATTTTTATTTACTCAAATTTGAGCCTAAGAAAGTTCTAGTTATTTTTGACAACAAGCATAAATTCTCAAAAAATAAAACTTCCACAAGGCTTGTGGAAGTTTTGATGATGTGAAAACACTAACATTGATATATATATATATATATATATATATATATGTATATATATATATATGTGTGTATATATATGTAATATGTATATATGCATGTAAATATACATATATATGTCTCTTAAGATTAAATTAGTACTCTCATCCTTTAAGAAAAAGAGTGGTTGATATTTTCATAAAATATATATTCTATTATTTAATTCTTGATTATTAAAACATAATTAGGCTAAAATTATTGAAATGTTGGCCTCAGACAGAGACAATTCACCTGTGTGTAGAGGGATCGCCTGCACTCTAACCTTATGTATGAATCTTTAGAATAGGGTAATGGGGCAATAGTATCGCAAAAGAAAGTTTAAAAGCTAAAACTCAAAAAAAACTTACCATAAGATGAAATTTTCTCATATATATATATTAATAATATTATTTGTCACAGAGATAGAAAATTAGAGCATATATACCAAAGGTGTAGAGATTGAAACTATAAATCCTTTCAATTTTTATCACAACAATATCACAATGAAATCAAGTTGTTAACTATATGGTGATAGTAAAGTAATAAAAAATAATGCGAAACATAAATTGTTTCTAACAGCTACTTACCAGTTATCATTGTTAAAGACAATGAATCCTCTGTTTCCTCTTCCAAAGGCTACTTGGTTGCTTCCATTATCCCACCAGTTGGTAAAAGGCTGGCCATCAACTACATTTCGAAAGGCAACCATATTCCTACAAGTACAAGAGCACATGAAAAGCTGCATCCGTCAGCTTCAGGAGATGAAATCAAACATTAGGCAAGGTCCCTATCCAGGAGTATCACTAGGTAAATAAACATTCCTAACCTGATTTGACGCCAGCGATGTTCACAGACCCAGCCATTGCCACAGGTGGTGTCAGGATTAATAGTGACTTCTTTAATCATTTCATTATTGTTGGGAGGTCCAACCCAGTCATTGACATCCTTAGTTACAGAACACAAAATTTTAATTTTAGCATGCATGTGTTAGCTGCCCTCCTCCTTCCTCGCTACACTAAACCCAAGTGATCCTTGTGTTTCTGTGTCCCTGCCCTGTCATCCTATTGTTCACGTTCCTTTACTGAGTCCTCATCGTCGCTAGGGACTCGTGCTCTCCAGGGACATATTTCAAACAAGAGTAGCAAATTTTTCTCATTTTTCCTTCCAAGAAATGGCTCGTTGGGATCACCAGAAAGCAACTCATTGAAACTGCAAGTCCATTTGTTTCAGGAGTATTAGAATCAAACAATATGTCCCAGTGGGAATAGCTGAAAAAATCTTCATATATCAAACTTATAGGAGACTATTTTTTCTCATCTGTAAAACAGGAATATCAATTGGTTTTATTACAAAAAATAATGCATGTATTGCGGCAAGAGGACGGCTGGAAAGGATGGTGGAGAATGATGAAAAGTGTGACATTAGTTAAGATGTATTGTGCCCATAAACTGCCTTGTTGAATGGCAACTCCTTTGTACAACTATGTAAAGATCATAAAAAATGAATTTTAAAATAATGTTATATTACTTTTGAGAGAATCATTATAAATACTGTTTGTAATAATTGTTAGGTTTTATACCATCTTCTAAATAAACATAATATCCAACACATCCTAATACTGTTTACTAAATTGGTAAAAAGTTTTAATATGCCCCTTTCTGGTGGATAATACTTGGAAAGATATTTCTAGAATGACATCAAAATAAGTAGGAATTTCAGTGTATAGAGACCATTTACATTACATTTAGGGATTTCATGATGTAGACATATTGGTTAAATAGAAGCACAATAGGAAAAATAAATGGGCAATTTTCATGACTTCTGACATCAGAAGAACAATTAGTGGAAGTTGCAGAAGCTGACTCAATATAAAAGGGATGCATTACAAAATTAAAGCTATCCAACAAAAGAAAGAATTGCTGGAGAGGTGAGTCGGGTACTCAAATTGAAAAAAAAAAATAGAAAACTTAAAAAATAGAAATGTATCTATTATACTTGCCTGTAACAGGAATTTGTTTAGTTCTAAAGTTTAATATGGTACTACTTCTGAAATTGTTTTTTTAATCTTAGCTTTTAAATTATATTTATATCCTGATTTTCAGTTCTTGATTGAAATAGCTATTTTAATTACTGTCTTCCACACTCCCAAATACTTTTCATGTAATTTTTATGAAATAATCTGAAATTTTATGTGCTGTGTGTGTGTGTGTGTGTGTGTGTGTGTGTGTGTGTGTGTGTGTGTGTGTGCTTAAATTCAGGGCCTGGGCACTTTCCCTAAGTTTTTTTGCTCAAGGCTGGACCTCTACCACTTGAGCCATAGCTCACTTCTAGCATTTTAGGGGTTAATTAATTAGAGATAAGAGGCTTACAGGCTTTCTGAGTAGGTGTGAGACAACAGTGCCCAGATAAATTTTTGTTCTTTAATAAACAATTTTCCTTCTTCTGATAAAACATTTTTTTCTATTTAAACTCAGCTCAACTGAGTACTTTCTTTGCATTCTATAGATATTATTTAAAAACAAGTATTTTCTAGTCCTGATATACTGGCAGGAACTATTTATATATGCTAACGTATGTAATCCCACATTAACACTATAAGGTAGATATTTTAGAAAGCACACATTTTATAGCTCTTTATATCTTGAATTTATTGTCACCTTTCTTCCTTGATAGTAGAGGGTGAATGTTTGCTGGTTATCCTATTTCTGAAACAATTTTATACTTCTTTGGCAAGAAATAAATTTTTACTTCTCTCCTTTGCAATACTAAGAACAGAGTTGAACCACAAGCTACTATTTTAATAAGTGCATGATAAATAAATGCTGAATGTAATAATGTCATATAAAGCTAAAACAGAACTGCTCTTTGAGCAATTCTAAAACTTACTTTTCCATTTTCAAAGTATCTTGGCCAATGATAGCTGGACATTACTCGTGTAAAGCCATACGGATGAGCAAGCATGAATCCAACAGCCATTTTGTACATCCTGAAAGTTACAGCATGATGATTAATGGAAGGTAGGAGAATGCACACGATCGTGTCTAAAGGCAGGTTCATAACAGTGGAGAACATGGTTTCCTACCTGGCATCCCAGAATGTAAGGATGGATGCTCCTCCAGCCCCGTGTCCTCGCTGATTGTCATGGTTATCCACAAAGACCAGGGCTCTGTCAGAGGGCATGAAGCCCCAGCCTTCTCCCCAGTTCCTAAAAATATTAATAGACTATTAATATTAACATATAGTCCTTTAAAAGTGATTTAAAGTAAAATAACTGAATGGCTCTTTCTTAGTATTTTTGTTGTGTTTGTGTGGGAAGGGGAAGGTAAGTACACTCATTAAATCTGCAAATAAACTCCATTTTGTATGGGTAAATGGATTACTTGTATTCTATTCAAGTTACCTATAAGAATTTTTTTTATTAAAAAAGCTACTTTTAGCTATTTCAATATATTGCATTGTCCATGGATTTCAAAAGAGTCAACATATACAACACATTACACAGAACACTCAAAAGTGTTTTTAAAAATCTGCCTCCAGTAGATACTACTGAGGTAAAGACATTTTAATATTTGAAATTAAGTGATTGATATGAGACTTAAATTACACATATGGCCACATTGTTGGCACTTAACACACAGTAGAATCCTTTTAATACTCATCAACTTTGACAGACTATAGGCAAACATGACTAAAATCTAATATACTCATGTCATCTATAGGTCAACAATCTCAAAGTGATGTTTGGGTTTAGAGAACACTTCTATTAAAATTCGTTTTCCAAACGAAAAAAAGATGATGAATTGGTGTTTGGAAAAAAATAAGATGCATTATTAATGACCAGCTTCTTGACAGTTGTCTAGAGAGAAAGGCTCTAACTGGAGTAATATGATTAGCTCGTCTATAAAGAAATTCAAATAAACAAGCATAATCTGTTTACTTTAAGTAAGCCATCTTCTCGCCATTCCACTTGCGGATCACTGTACCCAGCTTAGCCCCATACTTGAATTCTGTCACACGGCCGGTTCCAAAGTACTCACTACTTGAAATTGCCTCACCTCCCAGATCAATGACCTAGAAGAAACAAGGGAAAATACCTTGATAATGTGAATTTTAAACTATTTTAGTGTGCAGATTAGTATGCTTTTAAAAAGCATAGCTTAAACCTGATGTGGAAGAAATAATTTGTATTGTCACAGCTCATTGAATTTGCAAACTTTATAGACCATGATAATGACAATTTGCCTTGTGAAGGTTAAAATGTGTTTGTGACTTTAACTAAGTGTCACTATTCCACAATACTGTGAAATATGTGAAATTTATGTAATCACCTAATCTCAATTTTTAAAAAAATAAGTGAGAGAAGGGATGGGTTAGGAGTGATGGGTAACAATGTTGTCAGATACCTTGTACTCATAAAATGTTTTGTAGAATGGGAACTTCTTTGTACAACTGTTTAAAGATAATAATAGTAAAATATGTTTAAAAAAATAGCTTAAAACAAGTCTTTTGTACTGCTCAAAATGGTTTCCTTTAGGTGAAAGATGCTTAATTTTTTTATAAAATATTGTCACAATCTTGAAATAAAACCTAGATAAATGTGAGCTATTTGTAAAGTTAGTAGTTTTTCTGTTTACTGATAATAAACTGAATATAAAACATTCATAAAGACAGTCCCATTCATAAGACCCTCAAAAATGTACCTAGAAATAAAATTAAATACAGAAATTAGTACCTCCATGGTGAAAAATGTAAAATACTGGGGCTGGGAAGGTGGCTCAGTGCTTTCTATGCATGCATGAGGCCTTGGGTTCAATTCCTCAGCACCACATAAGCAGAAAAAGCTGAAAGTGGTGCTGTGGCTCAAGTGGTAGAGCACTAGCCTTGAGCTGAAGAGCTGAAGGACAGCACCCAGGCCCAGAGTTCAAGCCCCACAACCGACAAAAACAACAACAACAAAAAAGTAAAGTACTGTGAGGCCCTAGTGGCTCACACCTATGATCCTAGCTCTTCAGCAAGCTGAGATATGCCTAAATACACACACACACACACACACACATCTCTCCAACTAGCCAGCAAAAAATGCCAGAAATGAAGGCATAGCTTACATGGTAGAGCCCCACTGGGATGGTGATTGAAAAAGTGAAGAGAGCTTTTTCCAGGCCCTGAGTTTTAAGCTCCAGAAATTGCTCTATGTAAGTGGCCCAGAAATTAACCTAGAGAAATTTCATATTTACATATTCTCTATTTATTTTATTTGCTTTGTTTACATTATTTTACATGCACGCATACGTATTGATGTACCTCTTGGTAGATGAAAGGCCTGCTTCCTTCAGGGAACCAAGTTATATTGAGATGATGCAGTTTATCCAGTACCACCTTGATGTCTCCAGGCCACATGTGCTTAGCCGCATCAAGCCTGAACCCTGCTACTCCAATGTCAATTAGATGGTTCATGTAGTCTGCAACCTTGGTACGAACGTAATCTTTCTCAAGTGCAAGATCAAGAAGACCAACTAGACGACAATCTCTGACCTGTTTGGGGTAAAATTTTTGTTATTGATTCACTAAACCTTATGTCTTACCTGACAATCTATATCATTATTTATTCATGACTTATTTATATATATTTCCATAGTGCTTTGACACAGGGCACTGTGGTGCGCCTTTGAATTTTTTTATTCTATAAAAATGGAGAATGTAGGAAATGAAGAAGAGGGGCTTCTTAGTAATTTGAAGTGATTTGGGTTTTTTTCTATTTTTCTTTCTTTGTGAATTGTGCCAGATCTCAAACTCTGGGTGGCAGGTTAGTAATCTGCCACCCACCTGTATTGCAGGAAAGACACATGATTGTGGAAACATTTGAATATTGATTTGAGATCCCTTCAGATATTTATAGTCTGGCCTCAAATTCCAAGATCCCCAAGTCCTCAGCTTTTTGAATGCTGGGATAACAGAATGTACCACCACCCTCAATTGAGAAACTTCCTTCCTTTTGTAGTTAGCCCTGGAAGCCAGTTTTTCCTAGGAATTTACTCGAGCATTTAAAATGATATTAAATAAGATACAGATTATTGATTGCAGGACTAAGGAGTGCTTTATTCTGATCATTGTTTTAAAAAAAATTACCTGGGCAGCATCATTATAGTTCTCAATGCCTCCACTTCCAGATCTACATTTAACATCATTGAAATCCCAGCCATAGTACGGCACTGCAGGAAAAGCTCTATTCTGAGCATCGAAGTAGCTTCCACAAGTGCTGTTTGTTCCTGAACTCCCCGCTTCACTGCACATGTGATTAATTACAGCATCCACGTAAATATGGACCTGAAAACCAGAGTCTTTTTCAGTTTGACTTTAAGGAGAAACATAACACATCATTGATTATAGTATACAATCTGAAATAAAGCTCCAACTACTATAAAATGAAAATTGGCAACTCTTCTGGTTACTCAAATATCTATGCAAAGATAAATGGAGAAAACCAGAAATTATCATAGCTATAAAGAATGGGTCAACTGATAAAAATATCAGTTGAAAAAGGAGGATTATTGATTGTTGAAATTTCAGTGGGTCACAAGGAGAGAAAGCAGTTGGCCACTATTTTTTTAAGCATCTCAGCAGATGCATGTAGATATTGCTCTTCTATTATGATGCTCAGTAGAGGAAGAATATTTACCATTAAAGTCAGTGATAAGGAGGCACACTCAAAACCTATGGCTAGACAATAAATCACATGAAAAAAACAGCAACCATTGTAATACAATTCCATCTCCTAACCAGTAAAGTGCTCCAAGGAAATGTGTATAGTTATAACAGTTAAAAGATAATATTTGGCCTTATAAGTAAACTCTTCTTGAAAACTGAAACTATCTCTTCTTTAGTAGATGAATGGTATGAAAACAATATTTACAAAATTGAGACATAAGGCAGTATTTAATTTTGAGTTAAAGCTAGGTGATTCAGTAAAATTTCTAAAGTTTTAAATATGAATTGTTTAGTCCTCAAAAGTACATGAGATAGGACAATGAAATTAATTTTTGTATAATATTTTATATTTTTTGTGTGTAATATTTTGAAAGAATCTTTAATTCACTTACCCCAACATTGTTGCACCTAGTCACCATGTCTCTGAATTCATCTTCATTCCCAGATCTTGTGCAGATGTTATAGCTGATGGGTTGGTATCTTTCCCACCAAGGTCTTGAAGGGTTGTGAACTACAATGTTTTCATTGGGTGGAGAGACCTACAAAATTAAACAATCCATAAATGACAGATTATGGATTACATTATATCATCAAATGCTCTAGGTAGCAATCAGTAATATAAAATATTACTGGGTCTCATTATGCAGATATGTTGTACTTTTTTTTCTTCTTTTTTTATTTTTTATTGTGAACATACTGTACGGAGGGGTTACAATTACATGGGCAAGATAATGAGTATATTTCTTATCAAGCATTGTTTACACATTGTTTATCCTTTGTTTACCCTTCACATTATGTTGTACTTTTTAATGACTTGAAAAAAGTTAAATGTAGTTAGGCCCTGATGGTTCACACCTGTAACTATGGCTACTGAGCGTGCTAAGTCAGCCCAAGCAGGAAAGTCCATGAGAATCTTCCTATTAATCACAGAAAAAACTGGAAGTGGTAGAATGCTAGCCTTGAGCAGAAGGAGCTCAGGGACAGTGCCCAGGCCCAGAGTTCAAGCAGAAAGAACAAAGAATGAAAGGAAGAAGGAAGGAAGGAAGGAAGGAAGGAAGCAAGGAAGGAAGGAAGGAAGGAAGAGGAAAGAGAGAGAAAGAAAAGGAAGGAAGGAAAGAAAGAAAGAAAAAAGGAAGGAAGGAAGGAAGGGAGGGAGGGAGGGAGGGAAGGAGGGAGGGAGGGAGAGAAAGGGAGGGAGGGAAGGAGAGAAAGGGAGGGAGGGAGGAAGGAAAGGGAGGGAGGAATAGAGGAATATAACACTGCCAACAACCCTGAAGGTTTTCTTTTTTTAGAAAACTGATTAACAGCTGAGAGATGAAGTGCTGTTGTGTACATATTGAACTTTGAAATTTATCCTGTAATACTCACCTGGACTCCTCCAAATCCATTGGGGGCTAAATACCGTTCACATTCCTGAGCTATGTCAGCCCAGCGCCACTCAAACAGGTGGACTATAGATGTTCGCCCCACTTGAGTATTGGGGGAATACTGAGCCCAGCAGAGCCCAATGGCTGACAGCAACAGAAAGAACTTCATGTTGCTTTGCAGTTGTCAGAATACGTTCTAGCAAAAAAAGAGCAAAACACTGTATTGGTTACAATAAATATATGAACAGTATATTCATAATCTGAAAAGCACTATTAGCAATAGTGTTGACTCATTCATAAAGTACCCCTACGCCAGCCTAAATGGCTTCTTAAACTCATGAGGTTTTTTACATTGAATGAACATTAAGTTTTCATACATCTGAGATTTACATATAATACATATACTCATTGTTCAATAAGAATAAGAAGTTTATTTTCTTATGTCCCCTAGTAATAGAAGTTATAATTAGAGGTAGCTAAGTTTATGCTTAAAATCTTATTAAAGGGGATAATTAAAAGGATGACTCTGATTAAGGACTATACATAGAAATGAACATGCTACATTGTAATCCCCTTGTACACCATTTGAAGTTTAAAAACTAGAGGTATTTATTAAAATGAAGGAGATGAGAAAGTGCCAACTGTAAGGAAGAGCATTAAAAGTACTATAGACTTTTGCTTTTTTTCAGCCAATCACAAACTAGTCACGTTTGGTCAACATGTAGGTTTTATGCATATTTATATAGATGTTTCTCATATTTTAGACACAGTTTTATATACTACAGGTTGAGATTTCAACTGTTTTCTTTTTTTCCTCTATGATTCCCCTCCACCATTTTTGTCTGTGATACACATTCAACTGAAGCTACTTATATATGAAACTTACCCATATATTCTCGAGCATAATTAATTCTTCTGTGGTAGGATAGAACAATATCACAGATATTTAATACTTATTGTAAATATGTCAGAATGTGCAAGTTTACTATTTTCTGAAACAAGCATTTTAAAGTTAGGCTTTAGATCTAATATGAATAGATTTTGGCAAATGATTGGCATGATATTGTTATATGCTCAATAAATAGCTGTAATATACAAAGTAAGTTCTGGGTTTTGTGCAGAATATTAATAAGGTACGGGTTATGTCCTCATTTTATAAAATAAATGAACACTATGTCAGAAATTATATAACATATAAGATATATAGCATATATACATTTTTAAAATCTTGAAAACAATCTCATATATATGAAGATTCTAAGCACCACAGACACTGAGTAAATTACCCATTTTCAGGTAATAAAGGAAAGATGATGAATTTGATAATAGTTCTGACTATATTCTCCTGATTTCATCACAATTTCTCCAAGAATACTGAAGTTGTGAATTCCACTATGGTGTAGTCTTTTACAAGGATTGGCTATGGTGTAGTTGAGATATTGCTATTGTAGACAAAGATATGAGTATAAAATCCACTCTGGAATATCAAAAAATGTAATTTTTATATTTATAAATTGAAATGTTATTTTGTGATATATTAGCAAAATAAAATTTGTTAATAATATGTTAATTTTACATTCACATCATTAACATTAATATTAATTTTGTTTATCTCTCTTTTTCAATTTAACCATTCTATTTAAATTATATCAACAATTTACATTGCATTCTATTACACAGGGAGTACTTTACTAGTAAGATCTCTTGACTAATACACAAAAGTAAGAATAATGAACTGAAGGACATACTCATTCTTTTAGTACAGTTATGAATAAAGCCCTTCAGACTTGTTGGCACCAAAAATAATTCCCAGAAAAGGACAATTGGGGGAAAAGAAATTTGATTCATTGGTTTGACTAATATAAAGAGATGAGAAGAAATTTCTCTGTAGTTAACAAATGCCAATTTATCAAAGGTGGAAAGGGGAAAAAGAAATTGGCAAGAAGATAATATAGTGTTTTAGAGAGATGGGTCATGAGTCAGCCATGATATTGTATAAGGTGTATCAAAGTCTATCTGGATATAGTTGAGTAGGAGAGCCACAATAGCCCAAGGCTACTTAGACACTGAAGAATGTAGCCTGGCATTGTAAAGTCTTGAGTGTTAGAGATAAAGGCACTGTTTAGGTGTGATTCAAGTTATATTATGCCAAAGTGTAATGTTCAAGAGTAATACAATCTATCATTTAAATCCTAACTTGCCAGAATGGCCCACATCCTCAAGTCAGCCAACGACAAATGCTGGAGGGGATGCTGAGAAAGAGGAACTCTATTACATTGCTGGTGGGAATGTACACTTATACAACCACTTTGGAAAGCAGTCTGGAGGATCCTCAGAAAGCTAAATATTGACTTCCCTTATGACCCAGCCATACCACTTCTAGGCATCTACCCTGAACAACAGGAACCAATATACAAGGACACGTGCACCTCCATGTTTATTGCAGCACTGTTCGCGATAGCCAGGATATGGAAACAACCCAGACATCCAACCATAGATGAATGGATCCAAAACTTGTGGTATTTATGCACAATGGAATATTATGCAGCCATTAGAAAGGACAAAATAATGGCATTTGCAGGGAAATTGATGGAACTAGAAGAAATCATGTTGAGCGAGGTAAGCCAAGAGCAAAGAGACAAAGAGCACATGGTCTCCCTGATAAGTGGATGCTAAATCCAAAACGTAAGGTGATACAACAAAATTAACAAGACTTAAGAAACAAAGGACTTCCACTCATCTGATTGAATCACTACTAAATAACCCCATGCTGCTGATCACATATATAGTATATATGTGCACACCAGAGGAAAACCAGGAGGAGGACACAGAACTAGAAGGAATCAGGGAAAAACATACAACAGGAGGACCCATCACTGCACTGGACATTGATCAAAATGAACTAAGCAACTCAATGGCAGCAATGGGAGAGAGGGAACAAGTGGGAAACAGGGAACAGCTATAAAAAACAAAAGAAATGTACATATCACCCAATGTGGAAGAAATAACTGTATTGCAAAACTCACAGAACTCACAAATGTTATAGACTACGATAGACAACTTCCTCCATGAAAGTTAGAATGTGTTTGTGACTTTAACTAAGCATCACTATCCCACAATTCTGTGAAATTTGGGAAATTATGTAATCACTTAATCACAATAAAGAATTTGAAAAAAAAATCTTGACTTGCCTGTTATAAAGAACTTGGAATATAACCTCTCAAAATCCTATGAACTAAAAAAGGCAACTCATATTTTATCTGGTTTTTGTCATGACTAAGCACATTAAACCAACAAAGGTTATTTCAGTATATGGAAACAGACATTTGTCTACTTGTTATAAATGTTTGTAATTTTTTATTATTACATTGCCATCATTATTCTTATTGAAACTAGGCTAAACTCATACTCTGAACCTTATCTCTGTCATCTCTTAGCATTCTGCCATTTTCTTCTATATTTTCCATTTGCTAGTAATTCTGCCTCTCAGAAATACATTTATATCCCTCACAGTAACAACTAGGACTAAGAAGGGATTAGCAATGTTTTCTACTGGCTGAAAACTCCACAGAACTTAAATCTGCTAAGCTACATTTACATTTTCTTCAGATATCTACAAAGTTACTTTAAGGATAGTCAAATGTGAAGTTACTCTGATTAGAGCATTGAATATTATATATTTTTATTGTACTATCATGCCATTCCCTATATACATCTATATCTAAATATGAGTACTTTTTAAAGTAAACTCTGAAAAAGGTAACATATCAAGAAAGTAATTCTAAACCAAAACTACCCAGTTTGTGGTATTCTCCAAAGGAATTTTTCTATCTAAATTTTAAAACAAGTATGTATTATTGTATTTAAAATCAAAAGACTCCATGAAACACAGAATTCCCTTTAATACAATGAGTACAATAAATTTAGTCATTTTATTTAAACTCTTAGCTTTGTGTCACAGAAGAAGATAGCTTGTATTAATTGAAGGAGCTCTGTCAAAATGTTAACTTCAAAGTAGCAACAACAAGAAAAATTTTAACTATTTTATATCTTCTTATCTACACATAAAATTATAGAATTAACAAAATTATTTCTTCTTATTGGAAGAAAGTCACTCAGAAGCTATGATTTTTTTAACTTAAAAATAAGCTAATATTGATCAATAACAGACAATTTTTCCTACCTTTTTAACTGTTAGTTATTAACTTAGAGGTCTTATGCTACAGACTCATTATAGTAAATAGTTAAACAGACCTGTCACTAAATATTTGAATATTTTAATAGCACATCTGTAAATGCTACTTGTTCATTTACAATTACCTGTATTGCAATATATTTATTTTTTCTGTTTTTAAATATCTTAAAGTTATAGGTTAAAATACTAGATAGAACTTGGCCAAGTTACTGAATGCCTTTTACTGAAAAACAAATTGTAGCTTTTTTCATAATCACTCTGAAATTTACATTGGTTCTGTATTAACAGTAAGCCTTCACCCACCAGTTAGTTCCCTCCACAGACAAGAGAAAAAAATTAAAAAGGAAAATTAAAAAGGAAATGAACCTAGGCTTAGGATTAATCTAAATGATAGTGAGGGGGGAAAAGGCAATGATAATCAAGTTTGCCTACCAGATCTCTGAAATTAATGAAATATCCCGAGACAAGGAAGGCTATAATGTTGGCTACAATTCCAACATAAAATAGACAACTGGACTCTGACATCTGCTCTGTCAACACAACTAAAAAAAGATTGTGAAACTGTGAGCTACAACCAATCATATGACAGAAACCACTTATTCCCCAGCCAGAGAAGGAGGAGCTCTACATGAAACAGGGGAATTAAAAAAAAAAAAAGGTTAAAAGTAACTTACCATAGTCACATTTTTAAATCAGCAATCTCCCAAACCTAGAGTATTGTTGTTGTTGTTGTTTCAAGTAAAATAGTACTAATCTCATGGTTTGAGTTTTAGTGTCTCTAACTTGAAAGCAAAAATCCAGGCTCTGGAATCTTACACACTTTCTACAACCCCGTCCTTTCCAGACACAGGACCTTGCTGAGTCCGCAAGTCTCTTTTCTAAAGCAGCATAATCTGAGTTCCAAGAGAAACCAGTCTGCATGTTCTTATCCTTGCTGCCTTACAAATCACTGTCTTCACTTCTCTGCTGAATTTGTAACCTGACCACCTCTTCTGATTACACCATGTATCTTCAGCTGTTTTTCAGTTGTTCATTTTTCTTTCTATAATGTCTTCCCCCATGCTCAGTATGTCCTAGTTCCCTGAATTGTTTATATCCATGAATAGTAAAACCCTTTCCTTATAATATTTTAAAGATAATATCTGCATGTGACTAAAGCACTATAAAATAAAAATATAAATGTAATCACTGAATCAAAGATTGAATTTGGAGGTAAGAGTCTCACAGGGACTTTTCTGCTCAGGCTGGGTTCCAATTACGATTCTCAGATCTCGGCCTCCTGAGTAGCTAGAATTAGAGGCATAAGCCACTGAAGCCTGGCTCAAAGATTTAATTCTATGTCTAATTTTTGCCACTTAATAGATGAACTTTAAATAAAGCCTTATCATCTATAAATTCAACTTAGGGCTTTAAGAAGATGATAGTGTTGTAAATAAAGAGTACTTAAATGATAGTGTTATAAACATGATAGAGTGTAAAAGCCTCTATCAATGTTAACAGTATGAACTGAATTAAAAGTAAGTGGTAAAGGTTATTCTAAGATACATCGTTTTACAAATAGTCATTCCAAATGGAATGCCTCTTTCCTTTGAGAATTTCCCTGTGTAATTATTAACCCACAGAGAGAATGTGTTATTGTTCACAAATACATAATGTGCCTCTTTCAGGTGAAAAACACACCTATCAAATATCCATGAAATTTGCTTTGGTGATGAAATACAGGAACTTTGGTGATGAAACGCAGGGGCTTTTTAAAATATGTGGCAATGTGGTATTTGTACTAGTTTTGCAAAGGGCCTAATAAAAATTACTCAATCTGAGAAAGAGAAGGAAAAATAAACTTAGCTACTATGAGACTTTAGAGTACACTGGAATATTAGTCACTTCTGATTCACACAGCTTTTAGGCACCAGTACCACCAGTACATATGACAATTTTACTTTCAGGCTGGCATGGTAGCTCAACCCTATAATCCTAGCTACTTGGGTGGCAGAAATCAAGGGATTATGGTTTGAGTCCAGTCCATGCAAAAAGAAGCGTAAAAGGTTCCAGTTTTAACCAATAGCTGGACACCGTGGTGCGTGTCTGTCATCACCAGCAACACCAGGAAGCATAGGGGAGGACTGCAGCCTGGGCCAGCTTGGGCATAAATTCAGACTCTATCTTGAAAATGACCAGGGTCAAAAAGAACTGGAAGCATGGCCCAAATTATACAGTGCCTGTTCAGCAAGTACAAGGCCTTGAGTTCAATCCTCACCACCACCACCACCACCAAAAAAAACAAAATAAAACCTTTGATATATGAAAACATGGAAAAATAAGAGAAAAATTAAGCTATAGCCTTAGAAGGTATTAACCATGAAGAGATTAAATTAATTTAGTTGCTTCCAGATTTTCAATTCTAAGAAATTTGTGTGTATGTGTATATATATATATATATATATATATATATATATATATATATATGTACTTATTGGGGTTCAAACCCAATGCCTTGCTCATGCTAGACAAGGATTTTAACACAGAGCTATATCCCTAACTCATATTTTTCAAAAATTGTATAAAATGATACTTCAACATAAAAAAATCTATCATTAGTTCACTGTTCTTATCTTTCTTATGCACTTTTAACTTTTAATAAATTTGTCTTTCAGTCATATAGAGCTACTTATCTAAAGGGAAAGAGGGAGCAGAGGAATGAAGAGAGGAATGGAAGGCAAAAGCAGTCACTATATGCAATATGCATATGTAAAAAGAGTAGTTACAAAATTAGAGGGTATGAATGAGACTGAGAATGAGACAAGAGAGAATGATAGAATGATGGATAGAGGAACATTGATCAAGATCCAAGGTACTCACATTCTGACTTGTTGAAATGAAATTCCTTGGTACAACTACTTAAAATTTAAAAAACATATTTGTCAGGATGCTGCTTAGCATTCTTAGAAATTCTTGTAAAAAATGGGTTAAAGAACATTTTCCAGGGGGCTGGGAAGGTGGCTCAGTGGTAGAGCATTTTACCTTGCATGCATGAGGCCCTGGGTTAGATTCCCCAGCACCACATAAGAAAAAAATAAAATAAAATAAAAAATAAAGAGTTAGACTTGAAAACATCAAAAAAAAAAAAAAAAGAGATGAAAGTCTCATGAAAAAAAAAAAAAAAAGAACATTTTCCACAGATAAGTTGATGTTAGGGAAATGAACCCTAAGATATGTATTCAAATGTTTCTTTTTCTTTCATTCAATTGTTTCTAACACATTTATAAGATTATTTCTTTGTTGCTTTGTATGTCCCTCCCCCACAGTATAACCCCTGCTTTCACTGTATTTGGTGTCGGTATAATTTGTGGAGGGGAAGGGGAAAAACAAATCGTTTAAATAGGGATACAGATGGACCCATTGCAACAATGAGATGTATAAGTCGTTATGTCGAAAACGAACTTTACAACTTTGGGGGGGGGAGGATTGGGTGGGGGGGTTGGGGGGGAGAGAATGGGAAGGGATGGGAAGGGGAAACAAAGGAGGAGGCTACAATGCTTGATAAGAAACGTACTCATTATCTTGTCCATGTAATTGTAACCCCTCTGTACAGTATTTTCACAATTAAAAAAAAAAAAAAAAGAATGAGTGGGCATAAAAGAAAAGAAACAGGCGACTGGGAATGTGGCTCCGTGGTAAAGTGCTTGCTTGCATGAGGCTCTGGGTTCAATTCCTTAGTACCACATAAGCGGAAAAATCCAGAAGTGGCGCTGTGGCTCAAGTGGTAGAGCACTAGCCTTGAGGTGAAGAGCTGAGGGACAGGGCCCAGGCCCGGAATTCAGACCCCAAAACCAACCAAAAAAGAAAAGAAAAGAAACACACTTTGTTATTGCTCTCTCTATGTGTATTTAATTCGTATTTTTATAATTTTGATCCAGTATGAATGGCAATAAATGGGTCCTCAGCAGAATTGCTGATAGAAAAGTGAGCTCTGCCATCATTGCCAACAGAGATTCTGATTCCTGTGCAATAGCCATCGACTTTATCTCCAGAAATGACATCACAATAGGTCCCAGCAGGGAGGCCAGTTTGCAAAGTGGATGACAATGACCTGAAAAACAAGTTTAACAAAGAACTTTAATTCAACACAAGATAAATGCAAGAGTACAAGTTATCTCTAAAATAAAGGTCCCAGAATAAGAAATGCAAATCCATAGACATATGCAGGGGATCTGAAAGCATCCTTGGGACAAGCATAATTATACCAAAAACCTAGCAACACTTAGTCAAAAGTGACAGTAGCAAATAGTAAAAGTAGAAGAATGTCAATGAACATATTCAAAAGCAGATAAATAAAAAATAAAAACAGTTTTAAAAGTACTACTTATACTGTATGTATTTTAAATGCTTACTTCTGATCATAAATGAATATTGATTATTTTTAAGAATGTACACAGCATTATTCTTCAAAAATAACCTTCCTTTCTTGGAAGTGGAGCTGTGGCTAAAAGTGGTAGAGCACTTGCCTTGACCAAAAGAGCTAAGGGATAGTGCCCAGGCCAAGAGTTCTAAAATAACTTCTCAAATTCAAAAAATTATGGTTAGAATTTAAAATAATCCGGCATTTCTGTGATGGAGTGTGTATACTTCTCTATGTATTGGTTTTGGATATCCTACCCAGAAAGGACACAAATTAAAGTTAGAGATTCTTTTTTTGTTGTTTTTTGTTTTTTTTAATTTTAATTTTTATTTTTTGTGGACATACTGTACAGAGGGGTTACAATTACATGGGCAAGATAATGAGTACATTTCTTATCAAGAAGTTAGAGATTCTTGTGGCACAAAATAGATATTTTTATATTTATTTGACTTATTTATTTATTCGTAGTCCATTAAGATATAGGTTAGGCTTAAATGACCTAAACATAAGGAAATGTTAGCCGTGGCCTGAGACATCAACTACTGTGAAGAGGACTTCAGAGCATATTCCTAACTGTAAGGGAAATATTAGAATAGAAAAAGAGAAAGAAAAAAAAAGATAACCAGTGAGAAGCCAGAAATGGGAAGAGTGATGACTAAAGCTTAAAATTTTCCTGAGGAAAATCACAGACCATAAGACATTTATATTCCACACAGAATATTTCTCACAGAGAGACAATCACAGTGGTGACCAGAGAAGAGTATTTGTCAAAAGAGCAGACAGAATAGGCTGTGAAAATAAAGAGCTAGAAAACACTCCAGTTTTTAGGCTTCCATACTTCTAGAAATTTTGCAACTATTTTTATGATTTTTGGAATGTGTTCTGTGAACTTAGAAGTGTGAGTTTTATGTGTAATACACAGATATACATAACGGTGCAAGGGTACCTGAAAAGAACTAAACTTAAAAGACCAAATCCTTAAGAGGACACAGGTGGCTCATATGTCTAATCCCAGCTGTTAGGGAGGGTGAAATCTGAGGATCTTGGTTCAAAGCCAGCCTGGGCAGGAAAGTCAATGAGACTCTTACATCCAGCCAACTACCAAAAAATCAGAAGTAGGGCTGTGATTCCAGTAAAAGAGCTCTAAGCTTGAGCAAAAAAGCTCAGGGATAGTGCCCAGGCCCTGAGTGTAAGCCCAAGGATTAGCACAAAAAGGAAGAGAAAGAATAAATCCTTAAAAACATAGGGAAATAGAGTCATCATCAAATCATTCTGCCCATTTCTGATTTCTATGTCTGTAAATCTTTGATTCTGAATTTGTAGCTGCTTACCAGTCATCATTGTTAAAGACAATGAATCCTCTGTTTCCTCTTCCAAAAGCTACTTGGTTGCTTCCATTATCCCACCAGTTGGTAAAAGGCTGGCCATCAACTACATTTCGAAAAGCAACCATGTTCCTACAAGTACAAGATCACATGAAATGCTGCATCCTTCAGCTTCAGGAGATGAAATCAAACATTAGGGAAGGTCCCTGTCCAGGAGTATCACTAGGTAAATAAACATTTCCAACCTGATTTGACGCCAGCGATGTTCACAGACCCAGCCATTGCCACAGGTGGTGTCAGCGTTAATAGTGACTTCTTTAGTAGCTCCATTATTGTTGGGAGGCCCAATCCAGTCATTGACATCCTTAATTAGAGAACACAAAATTGCCATTAAAATAGGCATGTGTAAGTTAGGCTCTTCCTTCTCCATTACACCAAACCCAGCCTCTCTTGCTACATATGTTCCTACTGTGTCTTTAGTTTGAATTCAAATAGTCTAGTTTGTTTATGTTTCTTCACTGAGTACTTCTTTCTGGATTCTTGTTCTCTAGGGACAGTTATCAAAAACAGTAATATGTTTTTGTCGTAGAATTTTTTTTCCAAATACTTGTTTCCTTTTACCACTATAAATATATCAATGTCACTGAAATAATGAGAGCATTATAATTAGGATTACTAGAATTAATAGAGATGTTTCAAAAACACTTCATTTAAATTCAAAACAACATTTCTAGCTCTCTGTTCCTCAGTTATTTCTTCTGTAAATAGAGACTTTATTTGGTTATTTGAAAAATGAATTAAATGTATGTGATAATCCTTTGATTTAATTTTAGTTTCCTAAATTATTATCAGTTGTATTTTTTACTAGCATTTGGATATATTTGCTAACAAACATGTCTTAATATTTTTCCATGACAAAAAGTTAAAATTTAAACCTTTCTTATGTTTTACAAAAGACACCTGATCAATACACAATGTAGTCACCACACGTGGAGTTCAGAGAAAGATGTGTTCATAACTCTAAAACTTACTTTTCCATTCTGAAAGTTTCTGTCCCAACGATAGCTGGACATTACTCGTGTAAAGCCATAAGGATGAGCAAGCATGAATCCGACAGCCATTTTGTACATCCTGAAAGTTACAGCATGATGTTTAATGGAAGGTATTTGAATGCACACAATCATGTCTAAAGGCAGGTTCATAAGAAGTAGAGAGCATGGTTTCCTACCTGGCATCCCAGAATGTAAGGATGGATGCTCCTCCAGCCCCGTGTCCTCGCTGATTGTCATGGTTGTCCACAAAGACCAGGGCTCTGTCAGAGGGCATGAAGCCCCAGCCTTCTCCCCAGTTCCTATTTAAAATAGAATAATATACATATGTTTGCTCCATCACAATTCATGGAAGAATCTGAATCTGTCTGCTTTCAGACTATGCTCAGCAATATTTCCTAATCAAATGAACACAATAGGATTGATTGTGTGCATGTATGTGAACATGAGATAATCTGTATTCCATACCTTTATGGATGGTTGGATGGTTTCTATTTCTGTGAATATTATGAGAATTTTGTCATAGCTGTTTGACTACACTAAAATTGAGATATATTCTAGATGTGTCAACAATCATGTCACATGTAATGTGTAAAACCTCAGTACTAAATGTTATGAAATAAGATTTTAATATTCCAAATTAATTAAGAAACAAGTGAAAATATGGTTTTACCACATTAAGATGGTTAACAGTCCTATTAACGATAACTTATTTTAACGGACTATAACACGGCATAGGAGAGATAAAGAGGCAACCAGTCTGCACTGTCTTCATAAACTGACAAGTTGAACTGAAACACCTTTGTTCAACTAGGTAAAGAAATCTTTATAAATTTAAAAATATGAAGTCTAAAACAGGAACTATAAGCATAGAATGAAATCTGGAATACTTCCATCATACAGTGATAAAAATACTTGAGGCACTATTTTTGGCTCCAACAATATTTCCTTGTGATTGACATAATAAATAAAGTGAAAGTTCACTGAGGGCTAAGGAGTAATAACAGTGTTATGGGTCTACTTAATTGTCTAACTCAGAAGACTGTCAGATAGCAAGTGCTGGAATAAGATGACAAACAAAGCTGTAAAATAACTCCAGTGACGAATGAAATTATGCTTACTTTAAGTAAGACATCTTCTCTCCATTCCACTTGCGGATCACTGTGCTCAGCTTGGCGCCAAATTTGAATTCTGTCACACGGCCATTTCCAAAGTACTCACTGCTCGAAATGGCCTCCCCTCCCAGGTCAATGACCTAAAGGAAACATAAGGAAATGAGAGCAAAACATAGGTTTTCTCAGCAAAAGTTAACATATTAAATGAATAAAAGTATATGTCACCAAAAAAATAACTTTAATGTCTCAGTGATCTAGTAAAAATGCTTTTCTTGATATCCATTTCTTGATTTCTCATCAACTATGTGGTACAACATTGAAAGAAGCCTAATGAAATGGCGACCTGGTGACTGGTCATGTTGATCTAACAGGATCTTGTATATGCACCATAATAAAAACAGCTGATATTATGAGCATGGCATTTGCTGTCAGGTCAATAATTCTTAATGCTTCATAATTGTTCAACAATTTCATTCTCCAAAGTCACCCAGAAAGGAGTTTGCAAATGGAAGAATTTTTCTGCAGAAAGGTTAACTCTTTGGGGAACAAATTTATAGCTAATAGTGCTTTAGCTAAGATCCAAAATACATCTGACGTGAGAATAGGAGAGCTATATGGTTTTTAAAGTCTTCCATGATGTTATCTGGAGATTTGTCACTGAAAGAATAAAAATTGTACTTCCACAAATGAAACAAATATAAGGAATTTTATGTACTTCCTCAAAATAAAAGATAATGTAAGAATCCTATTTTACAGAGATTCAAACATCAAGTCCCCAAATATGTATTTACATACATCTGTCATTACTTTTCTGACATTAATCTTATGAACACACACACACACACACACACACACACACACACACACACACACAAAATTCTGTACCTCTTGGTAAATAAAAGGCCTGCTCCCTGCAGGGAACCACTGGGTGTTCAGATTATTCAGCTTGTTCAAAACCGCCTTGATGTCTCCAGGCCACATGTGCTTTGCCGCATCCAGCCTGAACCCTGCTACTCCAATGCCAATGAGATGGTTCATGTAGTCTGCAATCTTGGTACGAACGTAATCTTTCTCAAGTGCAAGATCAAGAAGACCAGATACTTTGCAATTTCTGACCTGTTTGGAGTAAAATGGTATGTTTATATCAATAAAATCATCTCTCACTGGAAAAAATATGCTTTGTTATTTATTCCTTCACTTATTCAACAGTATTCACTTACTCATTTCCTTCCATAATTACTTTACAAGGTGTATTAGTTATAATGACATACTACTTCAGGTAAGTTTCCTCTTTGCATATGTTTGAACCCAGGTGGAAGCATGCATACATACATGCATATATGTGTTTGTGTGTGGTGCAGGATAGCAAATCACACAATGCTGCTAGGTCATGCTGTCCCATTGAAGCCCAGAACTTGCAAGAAGCTTTTGAATACTCAAGGGAATTCTTATTTGGATACAATGCATTCTGCTACATATTTGCCAAATGATATGTAATGTTTTAAATAATATTCACTTAACTATGCCTGTGTTACTCAGGCCTACAGAGATAATTATTCTGGTTATTAGAAAAATAATGAGACTTACCTCCTCAACATTGCCATAGTTATGTACCCCCCCATCATAAGATTTACATTTCCCATCATTGAAATCCCAGCCAGAGTATGGAACTGCAGGAAAATCTCTGTTATTAGCGTTGTAGTAGCTTCCACAAGTACTGCTTCTTCCTGCACCGCCCCCTGAACCACACATGTGATTAATTACAGCATCCACATAAATACGGACCTGAAACAAAGAGATTTCAGCTTCACTTGAGGCATAAAGTTAAGGCTTTCTAGAATCAAATCAAGCAGGATGTCAATAATCCTCCAAAATACTCTTTGGTTATTCCAAAGAGACAGAAGTAATGTGAAATGAAGTCCTACAACCATTCTAGCTAGTTAGTCAGGTACCTGCATCACTGATGGACAGAGAAAAGTCAGAGGTACCATAACTATGAAGAAATGGAAAGAGCTGTTTTGGGGCAGGCAGCTGTCAATGCAGACAGAAAGACCTGTGATTGTTCCACATCAGCGTATGAAAAGTAAATGGAAGCAGTTAGCCTCTTCACTTCTTTTATTAGCTGAAGAGAGTCTTTTCTCATGATCCTCATTGGGAAAATAAGTATATTTCATTATAGCAATATAAGGAAGAAAGAAATTCTATGTGGACTCATAAACCACATTAAACTGGCAACAATGATTGAAACTAGATTTGATAAATCCTCCACAGAATATAAGAAAATGGGTGTATCTAAAGGGCTCAAACCCAATGATTAATTTTAATGAAAGTCAACTTTAAATTGCCTTTGCTTTAATAGATAAAAGTACAGAAGGAAATCACTTATTTTCAAGCATAAACTATGATTAAAATTGGAAAAACAAGTGAATATAAAAAATAGTCTACACAATAAGAGTAAATAAAATTATTTTCTGCATAATCATTCTGAAGAAATCTCAAATCCACTTACTCCAACATTGTTACACCTGGTCACCATGTCTCTGAACTCATCTTCATTTCCAGATCTTGTGCAGATTTTGTAGCTGATGGGTTGGTATCTTTCCCACCATGGTCTAAAAGGGCTGTTGACTACAATATTTTCATTTGGTGGGGAGACCTATAATTAAAACAATATTAATAAGTCCTGATTATGGCTTTTTTTATAGTACTCAATGCTCTAGAATTTACCTGAAAATCTGAAATCCTTTCTGAATCTCATATATGCAGGTTCCTACTTTCCAATCACTTGAAAATATTAAACCTGCCCTGTTCGTGTCTTGAAATCAAATATTACAGAAAATACTAAATGTTTCTTTCTTCAGAAAATCATCTTAGAGTACTTACAAATCAAGTAAAATGGTGCTCTAGCTCACTAAAAGTGGGTAGAAACAGAATAAAGTTTGCAACATCTACTATGCATGACACTCACCTCGCCCCAAATCTCTAAGGTCCTAAGTACCTCTCACATTTTCTTATAATATCAACCCAGTGCAACTCATAGCAATGGACCTTAAATGTCCATCCCTGTTGAGTATGGGTGCTGGGGAATACTGAGCCCAGCAGAGCTGGGTACATGAATACCTTGTGCAGAGTACAAAGTATTTATTCACAATCTGAAAAAGACTATCAGTCATAGTGTTATCCAACAAGTGCAGAACATTCACAGAATCTTGCAGGAATACAATCTAAGTGTCCTTCAACATATTTTTTCTTATTGAAAGAATATTAACCTACAAAAACATCTCTCCTTTGATGTTTATAGATAATCATTATTTTTGTATTCTTTATTTGTGTTAGATAATATTATGATGCCATCCATTAATTGAATGACAAAATTTGGAAATAAAAGAATAATTAAAATTTAAGATAAAAGTGAAATGTATTATTTTAATATACACGAATTGAATAAACAGTCTTTTATTTCCCACTCTACAAAATCATGGCTTTAGTATTTGGTGGAATACTCATATTTTTCTTCCCTTCTCAGTTTTATATCACATATAACACTAAATCAAACTTTCATATTGTTTTTCCTCCTTAATATTAGTGGCATCCTATAAAAGACAGTACTTTTCCAGTTTCAGGGAAGATAATCCTCCTCAATTTACTATTTGGGATGCGAATTTTGTTTTGGCCAAACACTGTGGATAATGTTAGGAATGAGGGTAAACACAAAATAATTTCAGTTGACAATAATATTAATTGTGAAATATGAATTAACAAGATTAATAACATTGTGGCTTCCCCAGCAGGCTATTTGAATCAATTGAAAAGACCACTGCTATGAGTTGAAGGACTAAAGCAGCAAGTTGTTGGAAGAACAGAAAAAGATCAATATAAATACTGTAATTGTCCATGGAGGAATAAAAGCTTAATACTCAAGAAATATTGGGAAAGACAGCAGTGAAAAGATAAAATGTGGAAGATAATGGAAGATAAAATGTGGTGAGTTTAGAAAGATAGGCCCTGTTAGACTAGCAAAAAGAAACTCCCTGAGGGTATAGGAAAGAAAGATGAAGGGGAAAACAATTCTTTAGGGGAAAACAAAAGACTCTCCTCTGATCAGAGGCCAAATTGCAGGAGAGTGTGACTAGAGAAAGGGAAATCTTTTAGAAGATTGAAAACAGTCCAGGAAACATATGAGGACCTAAGACTGAAACAGAGATGCAACGTTCTTTCAAAATATGCTTTTATGACAGGTTTTCTTTTTTTAACAAAATTATTGTCAAGGTGATGTACACAGGGATTACAGTTACATAAGTAAGGTAGTGAGTACATTTCTTTTCTAGCTTGCTACCCCTTCCTCATTTTTCTCCCTCTTTCCCTCCCCCAGATCCCCAAGTTGTACATTTTTTTCTAATATATTGTGTTGTGAGTATCGCTGTTGCATTGGTTCCCCTTGTCATTTGTCTCACCATTGTGTTGTTCTCCTTCCCTTCCCTAAACCATATAAACATATATACAATACCCAGGGCACCGAAATCAAATACACTGACAACAGGGCATACACCATAGGGGCTAACAAAAACACAAAAGAAAAAGGAAATTACATAGTACATTAAAAACCACAACAAAGAAAAACTGGTTGTGTCTACGTCTTGGAGTTCATTTTGCTTAGCATCATCTTATACAGTCATATGTACATGGCTATTGAGCTATTCTGCTCATCTTATGACAGGCTTTTTAGAGACAATCAGTTTATAGAAAGATGAGAGCTGAAGAATGTGAAAAGGAGAAATATCACACTAGAGGTATTTATTAAAATGAGAGGAAATGGGGAAGGGCCAACTGTTGGGAAAGGCATGAAGTGTGCTGTAGGCTTTAATTCTTCCCCCACCAATCACAAAGCTCCCCTATGGCCCTTCTTCCAGTCAACCACATGAACACTATGCATATTAACACTGGAAGTTCAGCAGGTTTTACTCACAATTTCATATTACAAGTTAGGGTTTCAAGTGCTATTCTTCCTCCTACAATATCCTCATCTTCATCCATGATACTCATTTCTTTATCAACCCTGCCCTTGTATTCTGAGGCTTTTTGTTGTTGTTGTTTTTTGTTTTTGCCAGCCTTGGAACTTGAACTAAGGCCCTGGGAGCTGTCTGTAAGATTTCATACTCAAGGCTAATGCTTTCTTCAGAAAATTGATTTTAAAATATGTATATTTGAAGTAAACTATTGCTCTAGATCACTACAACTTCTTTGAGAACAATTTTCCACAGTTAATTCTGCAATGTATACTGTGAACAACACTCACCTGCACCCCTCCAAACCCATTGGGAGCTAAGTACCTCTCACATTCCTTAGCAATGTCAACCCAGCGCCACTCAAACAGGTGGACCATCGCTGTCCGTCCCTGTTGAGTTTGTGGGGAATACTGAGCCCAGCAGAGCCCAATGGCTGAAAGCAACAGAAGGAACTTCATTTTGCTGTGATGTTGTTGTCAGTGTTCTTACTGCCAATTATTTATAGTCCTGTGAAGAAAACACAATTTATAGCGTGAATATTAACCTGAATAAATATATACAATACGAACAGTTTGTTCACTATCTGGAAAGATTACCAATCATAATGTTAACAGGGGAAGAATATAAATAAAATCTCCTGAAAACCGTCTGAGTGGCTTCTAAGAATACAGTGATTTTTCTTTAATATTGGAGAAGCACCAAACTTTTTAACCACCTGTGACAGTTTATAGGAATATGCATAATTCCTGTATTATTTAATTATTATTAGGTTTATTTTTCATGTCCTACACTAGAAGGAAAATTACAATAGGAGCTAATGTAACTATTCATAGTGATTAAGGATAAACTATAATGAAAATCACACTGAAATCAAATTTACCTTAAATGAAGGAGTTTTATTACATTGGTAAGTAAAATGTAGTAACCTCCAAGAATTTTGGATCTTTCATAGCTTTCTGTGTGTGTGTGTGTGTGTGTGTGTGTGTGTGTGTGTGTACGTATGTATGTATATACATATAAATAACAATTACTTACAAGATGCTCCTACTGGAAGTGACATTGATCATGAAGAGACAAATTAATTACTCTTGTCATTGCAGTTATTTGCCTAGTAACTTCATAGTTTACTATCTTAAAATCAATAACAATAGAAGTATCATTACACATATTTCTAAGTGTTGTAATCTCTTTCTTTTTTTCATGTTCAATATTCTAAAGCTGTAGGTGAGTCTATTATTAGAGAACTTTGCCAAGTTGGTGCTTGCTTTTGCAGAAGAAAAGTCAAATTTTTTCCGAATTGTACACTGACTCTCTACAGTTTTCTCTGTTCCTTCCGTTAGAAAAATGTAAAGAAAAGCCTAAGGATGTAGTTCAAGTGCTAGTGCATGGCTCAGCAAGTGTGGGCTTTATGTTCAAACACCAATAATAGAAGAAAAAAGACAAAGTTTTGCTTAGCTAATAATAGTAATGTGTAATGATTGCAGAAGTATTAAGGGCTATTCTCAGATTTCTTATTTTATAAATGTTCCCTCTAAATGAAATTTTCTTCATTACAGTTTTACTTTTAGCTCTCACAAAATGTTTCACTGTTTATAAACATTTGGTGTGCTTTCATTTAGGGGAAATACACAACTCTGCCCTATTGAATTCAGGAGTGTCTGAGATTTTTCTATCACAGTGAATTGTGAAAATGTGTTACTAAACTGTTAAAAACAAGTAGTAGCTTGAGGTTTCTATTATCATTGCAAAAGTAAGAACTTCTTTGATCTGAGAAAAACATAAGGAAATTGATTATTGTGTCACTGACAATTTTGAGTTATTTGAATACTAAAGTCTAAACTATTCTCTCTGGACTGATACAAACATTCAGATCTGGTGTACTCTTTTGTACCTGAGGTTCTATGCAACACTTCCTTCCCTCGATATGGAAAGTCAAGGGAAGAGCAAGTCACAGACTTAGAAAATGTTAGCAATGATAGAGACTATTGGAAGGAAGCACAATAAAACATTGATTTTCACAATACAGCACAGTTCAATCCTAGACTCATAAATGATCATTTTGACATTTTACCAATGAGAGGATTCTGGCATGATATACACATCTTACTCCTATGCTTAGTATATACAACCTGATGTGGGAAAGAGGGACAATCTTACAATATTAACTGTATATCATCAGGACCTTGTCATATTCACAAGGGATGCTGAAATGCCACACACTGCATAAGAAAAGTACATTTGAAACTACAATGGACAACAGGATTCACATTAACTGAATAAACAGCACGTTTTCCCTCATACGTTGAAACTAGATCTAAAAATACCTTGGGTTGTGATAAACTATAGTGAACCCTAGGCACTCACATACAGTGAGACCAAAGGAGGATACTCTCAGGGGAAAAACACAAAGGTACAAAGTCTATGTGCATCTAATCATATAAAATAATATATACTGAAATGACTTATAAGAAATCAAAACAAGCCAGGAGCCAGTGGCTCATGCCTGTCTGTAATCCTAGCTACTCAGGAGGCTGAGATCTGAGCAGTACAGTTCAAAGCCACCCCAGGCAGGAAAATCTATGAGACTTTTTTTTTTTCAAGATTATATAAATTTCTTTCTTTCTTTTCTTTTTTTAAAATTATGAAAATACCCTACAGAAATGTTACAATCACATGGGCAATGAGTATATTTCTTATCAAGCATTGTTGCTTCCTCCTTTGTTTCCCCTTCCAATCACTTCCAATCTCCCCCTTCCCCATCTCCCTCCCTCTCCCTTCACACCCCCCACCCCCGGCCAAAGTTGTAAAGTTCGTTTTTCGATATAGCATCTTGTACATCTCATTGGCAATGGGTCCACCTGTATCCCTACTAAAACAATTTGTTTTTTCCCTTCCCCTCCTCAAATTATACCAACATCAAATACAGTGAAAACAGGGGTTATACCGTGGGGAAGGGACATACAAAGCAACAAAGAAATCATCTTATAAATATGCTAGAAACAATCACAAGAAAGAAGAAACATTTGAGTCCTTATCTTGGGGTTCATTTCACCTAACATCAACTTATCTGTTCATTTCTGCTTGTCTCAGGCATAGACTAATAATTGCAAATAAGGGAAACCATGGGACCTATGTTTCTTTGGGCCTGGCTTACTTCACTTAATATAATTTTTTTCAAGTTTTTCCATTTCCTAACAAATGGGGCAATGTCATTCTTTCTGATGGAGGCATAGAATTCCATTGTGTATATATACTACATTTTCTTGATCCATTCATCTACTACTGATGGACATCTGGGTTGGTTCCATATCTTAGCTATAGTAAATAATGCTGCAATAAACATAGTTGTGCTGGTAGCTTTAGTATGGTCTTGTTTGTGATCATTTGGGTAAATGCTCAAAAGTGGACTCTCATATCCTACAAACCACCAGAAAGCCGGAAGTGGCACTGTGGCTCAAGTGATAGAATGCTAGCCTTGAGCTGAAAAGCTGAAGGGCAGCGCCCAAGCCCAGATTTCAAGCCCTATGACTGACAAAAGAAAAAAAGAAATGGAAACAGTGGTTTTTCCTTTATTGTTGTTTCCTTTTCTTTGTGACTTGTTTGTTCTTTTACCTGTCTTTGGGACAGTAAAGGGGCACAGATATGGAGGACAAATGGTGAACGAATGCAGCAGTGGTTCTCACAAGACCTTTTGCTGAAAATGAACTACAAACTTGTGGGTGGGGATGGGAGAGAGCAAGAGAAAGAGATACATTGTTCAAAAAAGAAATGTACTCATTACCTGACTTGTGCAACTGTAACCCATCTATAAATCACCGTTATAGTAACAATTAAAACAAAACAAAAGGTCAGAAATTTATGTAACTCTGTTTTTCATATTGGAAGAGATTAAAAACTCTCAAATGTAACATATGCTTTCTAGCAAATGTAGCATAATCAATAGCAGATGTCATTATAGCATTGCCACACCAGTCTGGCAACTTCATGCCCATTTTCAGAAATAGGAAGAGTGGCAGAAAGACTAATAACCAATCAATTACTAAATCATAATACAGACACCACAAAAAATAACTCTATGTAGTAATGTGATATGGAATAGATTTCAAACACAAGGCAATAGAATGTCACAGCTATAAGAAAATACATAGGACATCACAAATAGTAGACAGTGTTAATTTTTTTAACATACGGCTTAACTAACAATATGGGAAAGAGGCTTAGTGGTACCGTGCTTGCCTAGCATGAAGCCCAGGGTTTGATTCATCAGTACCACATAAACAGTAAAATCTGGAATTGGCACTGGGGCTCAAGTAGTAGAGCATTAGCCTTGAGCAAAAGAAGCTCAAGGACGGTGCCCAGGCTCTGGAATGGCAAAAAAACAGACCCCAGAATATCACAGGCAGACACACCTGCATCTTCTGGACCTTTAGCATCAGAAGATAGGCCATTATATCATCTTACATAGTAATATTACACCCTAGCAATGATAACAAATATCAAATTTCAGACAGAGGATATCTTTTACATATCTTGGGATATTACATAAACATGAAAGTGGAGCATAAGTAGTCATCATTAATTGGTCATACAATAAAGATATTAGCCAATAAATATAGCATCTATACCAACATCTATTAGGACTATATGAGACTTTTTTTAAAATCACACATCAGGATTAAACACTCTGATTGTCATAAATTTGGAATGTATAAAATTTACAAATGTTATCAATATTGTAATTAGTAAGAAATCCTAAACAGCTTTATATTCCAATGTTCTTATATTGTCTAGGGACCTACTTGAGTCATAGCATTGCAGAATCTAAGAAATCCTGAGGGATAGACAATGTTATTGAAATAAAAGGAACCTAAAACAGTATGCAACGTTTTCCACAAGCCATAGGCAAACAAAAATTTCTATAGAACTTAACAAACATGGACTCACAGTATGAAAAAAAAATCAATTGCACTAGCAAAGGATTTGAAGACCTACCCACATAATTCATACTAATAAAACTAACTGGAAAATCCTTCAAGACCTACATACCATGTATAGTCTCACGGATTAATTGCAGCCTCTTGGATCAGGAGTGGCTGGTATGAACTGACTAGCACAATTTATTCTCATCTAAGACAAATATTACTCTTATTATTGGCAATGACATGTCAGTTGTACTTCCTGGAAAATTTGCAAAGCCAGATTCCGTAATGCATCCTGTAAAAAGAAAAACAATGTGTGGACCTTCAGTGCCTAGCCACGGGGCACCTGGTCTCACACAGCAGGGTAGATTGGAAAGTACAGGCCATGTCCTGCATGTTGAACTGAACAGTATCTTTCAGTCTCTGTCTTACTCTGAGTTAGTCCATTTTATAAAGCAGAAGTTTGTCATGACTGATTTTTCCAATGTAACACTTTCCTTGTCCATTAAAATCCTAAGATAGGATGACTCTATAAGACACTAAACCAATACCATCTGAAAAC